GGGAGTAAAATTGAATACAACGGACAAAGAGATGGAAAGAGGTGAGAAAGAAAGAGGGGATAAGAACTAAGGGAAGACAGAAAGAGAGACAGAAAAGAGTGCATGAAAAGAGTGAAAATAAAAAAAAAACAGCAAAAATAGACAACACAGAAGATATGCAATAACTCCCTGAAGTCTGGTTTTACACCTGTAGGAGATGAGAGGGAAAGAAAACAGAGAACATGACTGCAAAAAGAGGACAACAGACAACCAAGATAAAAATAAAAAAAGAACCAAGAGCAGCAGGTATCCCTTAGATATCCATATGTATGGAAGGCAAAACCTATGTTGATTACAAATATTATTCCGGGAGGTATATATCTGTAGCTGCAGCTCCGTAAACACCTGGAACCAAACTCTCGTGGTAAGAATGCATGGACATATTGTATAAAGGATTTACAAAGCTACTTAAGAAGGAAAATATGCTTAATAGCAGGTGTGGGTGGCCCTAGAGTAGTCCTACATGGCCCAGCACTGACAAAGTGGCAATTAAGCAGATACATTTGTAAAAATTTGTGGTAATGTGTGAAAAATATTCCCACATTACCACTAAGTTTAGAAATGTACAGCAAATAAAGTATTAAAGATGCCACTGTGTCATTTACCTTTTTCTTGGGTAAACATATTTCTAGAGGTGCATTCGCCTTATCAGTGCAAATTAATATCAGCTGGTTCAATCCCAAATGATGCCCTATAAAAAGGTGTCTCTAATATCACACAAGAAACAACAAATGTAGGTACAAGTAAAGAGCTTTCTCAAGACCTTAACCTTTTCGTCGCAAATGATGATGGCATTGGTTACAGAAGGATTTCTGAACTTCTGTATGGTCTAGTGAGACTTTCACTATCTGACCCAGCCGGAGTTAAAAGGAAATCGGGTTGGTTGTTGGGCAACAACCCAAGAACCAGACATGTTTAAAGCCTGCCCTGAACAAGAAACAGCGAAACATCATGGCAACAGTGGAGGGAGTTTAAGGACAAAGGAATAAAAATATGCTGAACAGGAAGAAAGCCCCCACTTCAAACATAAACACCTTTAATATCAACAGCTGAAATAATAATTCAGAGAAGGCAGCAACTTCAAATTTACTACAAATAAAAAGCTAATTGGCTGAAACCTGGAAACAATTGAATGCTTCAACAAAACAGCAAAAAAAGCTAAACGGGATGAAGCATATCTCTTCTAGGGCTGAAACAATTAATCGGATGAATCGTGATTAATCATTATTGAAATAATTGTCAACTAACTTAGTAATCGATTAATTGTTAACTGGAGTATAGAGACTCTAAAATGTGCCTTAAGCTGACAGAACAACCGACTTAGAGAAGTAATGATATCACAATTGTAAAAAGAAATTTGTAAATATTTTGCATTTAAAATAAAAATCTTTTTCTTCTGTGAACATGCTCTACCTAGCACTGCTCAAGAGAAAAAGGTTTATTTGCAATAGGTTTAATTTTGCAAAAATTCTTCTTTAAGGAACCCTTTGCTAAATAATCGACAGATTAATCGATTGGCAAAATAATCATTAGTTGCAGCCCTAATCTCTTCAATCTAAACCCTTTGCTCCTAAAGCTTGGAGAAGAACCAATTAAATGACGAGTGCTCAAATATCCAGCCTTAAATTCTGCTTAATGTGCAGTTTAGTTTTGCCATTAAATTAAGGGGAAAAATGTGTTACTTAAATGTTTGAAATATGGTTCTGTAAAGCTATGATGCAGTTCATTCAAACTGAAGGGTTAAGTTAGCGCATAACTGGTTTCACCTCCGAAAAAGACTCCATGGAATCTAACTTTAAAATAATCAAACTGTCCCTTTAACCCAGCCCGTTGGACTACACTACATGGACTACATGTACTGTGACATTCTTGTTGAATGAAACTACACAGTGTTTGCCAGCCAGACTTATATTAATCTCTTTGTTTCAGTTAGACCGTTGAGTTTTTTATCATTTAACAGGAAGGACAAGTAGCATGGAGTACTTGTTCAGACAGGATTTAACTTCCCTTCAACTATCAGTTTCTCTGTAACCAACAGACATTTATCAGAGTAAATTGTATGAATATAAGTTTAAAAAAAAGAAGATGAAAAAAGACTGGGTTAAAATTTAAGAATAAATCAGTACCATTTCCTAATAAAAAGAACAAGAAATGTTCCCTTAAAATGTCAGCTCATCTTACCAACTTTGTCAGCTCGTACTGTACTATGGACATGACATGATTACACCCAAGGGTTTGGCTTAACTGATTGTTCAAGAACTAGGCTTCAAGGCACTGCGCCCCAAGAAGAAACACCCATCTCATAGGGAGGGGAAGCTGTCCAAAGACAATGTGCAGAATTTAAAAAAATATTTTTCTCCTGCCTGGAAAAATACACTGTGCTCATAACTGTATAACAACCTCACCACTTAGTTAAGCAGCATAAATGCAAATACAGAAAAAAAAAATCATAATTTTTTTATGTCATCCTTATAAATGATTTCAATCATGAAATTAGCTTTTCTTTTTATGTTAACAAAATAATAAACATAACTAAACCAGGGCTGCACAATAATCTAAATTTTATTTTTATTGTAATATTCTATGCAAAACCCACATGGTACCATACAAACTCATTATTGGGGATCACATAACTCATGTTTTTTAAAACATATTGCACATCCTTTAAAACTCTATTTCTTTTTCAGTGCCTGAAAATACTGACATAAAAAATTCCCAACTTTTTTTACCCATCAAATAAGAATCACATATGTAGATCAAGACTTATCAGCCTTACTTAAAAAGGTGCAGTCTCTTCTTAACTCCCTGTTAAGAACAGTGCCTCAGAGATGCAGATCTCTCTTGCATTTTTATTTTTATATACGTTAAGGAACAAATGGAGTGCTGATTACAAATTAAATATCCTTCAATCAAATCAAGAGGAAAATATATATTTTTAAAAACTTTATTCCTTGAATTGCATTCATTGTACAGAAATTTTCAGAGGTCAAAAGCAAAGTTGGCAAATGTGTTTTTATACTTATTTTCATGGAGAATCATAAAGATCATATGGATTTTTAAGAGTGAGCAAAGTAAATAGTAGCAGTGTGCGTAAAATGCCTTAACCTAGAGTTGTTTATCTTAAAACCTTTTACAGAGTATAATAATTCTCTGTAAATCTGTGCATGAAATAGATATAGCGTATGCTTAGACAGCTCATGTAGCACAGCCAGTCAGTTCTGAGGGTTAAACAGTACATGAACAGTACCTGCTCAGGTTGGCTTAGAAAGGTCTCCCTCCCTGAAAGTGTTGCAGTGAGGACTTGGATTGATTGCTGCAGAACTCTGTCCTTCACTCTCAGTTCACTTTCAAGCTCTTGAAGGACAATCAATCCACTCTAGATTAAAAACAACAATTGACAAGGAGCCGTCTTAACACAATATATAACAAAACATCATTAAAACTCACTTAAATTAACTTTTTTTTAACAGAGGAAACGCTTTCTAAATGTATGAAAAATTGTAGGGTACTCTGCTAGGATTTCATATGATAAACCACCACAAAGTAGCAGATAAGAAGAAGAGATAGGAACATTTTAAAACATTTTACCATTAAATTCTAAAGTAAAAAATAAGTTTTGTAAACATAAAAAAAAAAAACGTTTCTGTTAAATAATGTCAGAGTAATGCTTATATTGCAATATTATGAACCAAAAAAAATTGTTTTTGGGGTTTCTTTTGTATGAAGTTTGAACAACTCACCTGTAATCTGGATTCCAAAGCTCGAAGGGTGAGGAGTGAGCTTTCCTGAGGAGGCGAGCTTGTCTTCATGCCTTCAAAGCCTTGACCACACTAAAAAAAAAAGATTTTTATTTAACTTAGAATTATCTACCAGTCATCTTTGTTAATGCAAAGTTAACTAAGGTGGCCTTACAGAGTAAGAAATACCACAAAGGTCAGTCAGAAGGAAATTTTCTAGTGGCTCCTTTGCTAAGCTTTGGTTCTTGAAAAGCAGAAGCATCTGCTCAGTTCCGCACCCGAAGAAATCATCCACATGGACGGAGCCGACATCTGACCAACAGGAGGCTATCTGGAGAAAATTTGTGGTACAAAATGGGTTTAAAGATAATCCAGATAGTATAACTGCATCTCTAAAAAATAGTAACACCCCTTAAAGATGTTCAGTTTTTACCATTTTAAACCCACATACTTTTAGGAAGGTAATCAGGATGTATGTAATAGACAAACACAATGGGGGATTAAATGTAAAGAGCGAGGATTATTATACATAATCCTCTGTCTTTACTTATATAATCTGGAAAATCTAGATCTATTTTATAGATACCACCACATTGAACCTGTAGGAGGGGTGTGCATCATTTTACAAAACACAGTAAACTCCAGTTTATACCTACCTGGAATGTGTCCTTCCATACAGAACAAGCGTGGCCCTGCTTAAAGAATACAACAAAAAGACAGCCATTTCTCCCTGTGTTAACAATCTGAATGTCTTCAGCCTGCTCAAAGGGCAGTTCACAAGTTTCTTTAACTAAACCATTTTCAAAAAGCACAAGCTGCTGATGTGAAGTTGCTGCAATAACAACACATCTCAGCACATCATCCACCCTATCAGCTGTTAGAACCTGCATGCACTGTGTGATACAAATGTAGGGATGGGGCAAAATCGAAGAGCCCTCAAACACTTGTCCCTTTTCAAGAAAATAACCAAGTGTAGGGTATTGGTTAGTTAGGGGTGCTTCTGAAAGTCCAAGAGCAAAAATCTGTCCTTTATGGATGTGGATCTCTCCAAAAACACATTTTGACATTTGAATGGGGATCATTCTGACCCCCTTTGCATTGGGGGATGTATAAAACACGCTTTGATCGTGGCTCCACAGCACTGTGGGGCCCTGCAGGATGCGCACGTTTCCCTGCATTTGATAGGGAAGCTTGAACTCGATGCAGGGCTCCAGTCTGTCTAAACCGTTAAGTGAGAGCAGACTATACTGGAAGCTGCCCCCTTTTTCACTCTTCTTTGTCACCAAAACGAACGGAGTTTTAACCCTTCTCTGAACATCTACAGCACAGTTACACGTCACGATGTCCACATGAGCTGACAGTTTCCTGCTGATGGCTGCTGTCCCCTCTGTTGCCTTCAGGAACGCGTTGACTTCACGTGCAAAGGAGAAGCTGCGGAAGTTTAGCCAGTTTCTTTCGCTTCCATTGCAGGCTGGGTCTTGGTTGCAGGTAAATAGGATTATCTTTCCGCTGTGTGAGAGGCTGTGGGGATTTTGATTCAAATCTTCCGGGGAAAACGGCTCCATTATTAGACGCTTCTTGTCAGGTTTGTCGCGTTTAGGGGGTTGAGCTTATTACTTACATGACTTAGTGACTCCAAATAAAGATAGAAATATACGCCTAATGTATCTCTATTACCAATACAAAGACGCACATTTAACTTTTCGAGTCGTCTAGGGCTTGATATTCAACATTGACCTGTCAGCAATCAAACTATCGCGCCACACTTACGCTGAAGTTGGCCTTCGTATTGTAGGGTGAAACTTTTACTTTTGGTAAAGGAATATTACACATTTTCTTTCATTCTTAGATGATGAGTTTAGCATACCAAGAAAAAAAAAGATTAATGTGGATAGTTGATAGTTTTATTTTCACCGTTTCTGGCTTCTGCTACTCCTCCAGATTTGTGCAATTTAATAAATAATACATTTTAAGACGTGCAACTTAAGTTCCATGTTAATTGTTTGTTTGTTTTTAAATGTAGGATTCTTTTAAATCTAGTTAATATGATTTTTTTTCATAGAATTTTACGATTGCATAAGTCCTAGCATTACAGTTGTAACCTAAAGTTATTATTCGTCATATAGTCGAGATCCCAAGCTATGTGATGTTTTTTTATTTATTTAATGTTCATTCGAAAGCGAGCTTCGGCGTCACCCCGCTCACTTGAACTAAACTCTCCCAGTCGACCCAATTGCATTGTGGGTAATTATTTTCTAAACAACAGCAAAATATAACATAATTTTTTTACTATATCGTAGAATATACAGCTATATTTCATCATTCAATGGGAGCACTGGTTGTTTGGACAAAAAAAAAAAAACATTATCTACTCTTGTTCTCTTTTCATCACAGATAAACAAAACTGCCCCGGCTGGGAGGTGTGGCCACGAGCGGAGCCAACATGGCGGCGTCAGGATTCCGGTTTCTTACTTTTAGCTGTGATTCATTAGTGCAGCTAGTTTGCTAACTTAGCAGCCAGGGGGGAAAAAAGAAAACACAATAACAACGCGGAACTACGACAGAGCCGGGTGGACGGTTGAATATGGCAGATCATGATCCGCAGCAGGGAGAGCAGGTACTTGATGACCGTTAGAAATGTTTACTTTGCTGAAATCCAACCCCAATCTAAACCGAAGCAACTCTGTTTTTTTACAGGATCTTGAGAAGAAAATCGATGAGACCAGGCAAAGATTCAATAGCGAGTTACTTAAAGGTAACACGAAATATACAAGTTTTTGATCAACTGAAATGTATTTACTTCGTGGATATTAATTTCCCTTTATACGTTTTTTCCTCTTTTTACATGCGTAATTGTTTGCATATATTCAAAGATTCATTTCCCGTGGCAACAAGTTCTCAGTTATGCTTCAACAAGTGCTCCACTTAGCATTTAAATACGAGCCTAGATGGCTCATATTTTAGCTTTCTGTTGGGTCATTGATCCACCCATTGACAGTTTAGAGTTTTTAAAGCCACGTTTATTTGAAAGTGAAACCTGCTTCTACAGACCTGTCTGAATGTCACGTGATTCCGTTTTTTTGTGTGTTCTGTTTGCAGACTCAACAGATAAGTATGACTCCAGGGACGTGGAGAGGCTTGAGCAGGACGATGCTTTGGTAGAAGCCTACCTCACATGGAGGCAGTATGTGGTGGATGATGCCTTAAAGATGATAGATGATAGTCTGCTCTGGAGAAAAGAGTTAGGTGTAAATGGTAAGACTTTAGGATGCTTAGAACTGTTTACATTTTCAAAGGAATTAAATGTTTGACCCTTTTTTGTGTGTATATTGGTAGAATTTTAAATTCCTACTCTGTTCTAAAAGCTAAAAATTACTGGTAATTCATGTCCCTCAATTTACGACTGTCTTAAAAAAAAAAACCAGGGCCATAAACGAATAAAACTCCAAATGTGACTTGATATAAAAATAATTCAAGTGGATCAGTTCACTCAATACAATTTTCTTAAAAAGGCCCACATCTTATGTGTCATATGTTTGATCCATATATTGTTTAAACATTTTTCAACCCTATTTAAAGTGTTCTAATCCTTCTTTTGGACAGCGCATTCGGATAAACATTTTTAGCCTTATCAGGCTTCTCGGCCCATTTTGGTTTTCTTTGAGATTTCAGCTGGTTCCATTTTTTATTTATTTATTTTTTTTTTAAACAAGTAGATTAGATTGGTTTACTGATTTTCATGATTTAGCTGAACAGATTGAATTGGACAAGTGCTGTAAAAAAATTTTTTTCCTACAATCTGAATGTTACCAGAGTAAATTATGCAACAAAGCAATAATATATTCAGATTGTTTTATATATTTCAAGTGAAGTTAATTACTTAGTTATATAGGTTTGGAAAAAAAAAAAAAAATCCTTTGCAAAGTTTGGATGAACACCAGACTTTGCTCATGCTGGAAAAATACCAGAACAAAAATCCGATCTTTGGATTTATAACAAGTTAGTTACACCACATTGCCTAAGATAAACTGTTGGAACATGACATCAGGATAAAAAAAACAATTATCTGTAGTAATCATGTATGTTGTCTTTTTGGTTTCAACAGAGATTCAACTTTTAGGGGAAATCACAGACAGTTGTAATTGAGTCTGCATTGGATTCAATATTTGATCAATATGACTTTTTTTTGCTTAATAACACATTTTTCTAAGGATAATGACAACCCTTTTTATATGAAAAAAAACTTGACTTAAATCTGCAAATAATTAATATTAAATTACAGATCTGACATTGATAGTTCTCCAAGAAATCCTCAGCAGAAACATTTTTATGGGCCAAAATTGTTTGCACCAAAAATAACTTCAGCTTCAGTTTCATGTCTTCAAAGTATACAGACTTTAATAAATATAAATATAAAAACTTTTCAGTAAATAAAGCATACATATATTGGTGTTCACATGTTTATATACAGCCAGTTGATCTTTCTTTTTGTTTTGTACAGAAGTATTTGGGGGGAAAGGCGGGTTGTGGTGGGAGAAATCATGCTTGTCCCACTAAATACTAAAGTTCAATATCCAGCTTTACTAGAACTGTTGACATTGGCATATGTGTTTCAAGCTCCAAACACAAATCTGTGGTTGCCCTTGTGCTTATCTGAGGAAAACAGAGGGTCTTTGTGTGTTAAACAGCCATATCTCTATGCGTAAGTTACCACAGGGAACAATAGTCTCTGTTTCTCCTGATGATTTGAAAGACTTGTTATTTGCTGGCCTTTTAATCCAGTAAATTCTATTTTTCCCTGGCTTGTTTTAGGAAATGTGATTTATATGAGTCATTAGTGCCTCGGGCGAGGGGGAACCTGCAAAAAAAAAAAACTTGTGTGCTTTAAAATATAGACTTTTAGAAACCATAAAGCAGGTTAACATGATCCAGATTACCTTCAATGTTTGCATGTCGTGTTATCTGTAGCTTTATCTCTTAATTTCATTAACGTATGTAATTTGTTTGTTGTTGACTGTAGATATTACTGAGAGCACCATTCCCAGGTGGATGTTTGAGTCCGGTGCCGTCTACCTCCATGGCTACGACAAAGAAGGCAACAAGCTCTGTATGCACCCCTCCTCATTTAGCTCCACCCACGCGCACACTGACATTTAATGGGAGACTCTTAAAGCATGGGATGATTACATATATTCACTGGGTTTTTTGTGTAAAAGTACCTCAGAAACTTTGTGAAATTTAGTAAAAAGCATTAAAATATCAAATTAATGTTTTTTATATAAATAGCAGTTACTCATATTGTTGGTAAAACAATTTAAAACTATTTAAGCTATTATAACCATGTTATATCTTAGTTTTAACAATTGTTACTTTCATATGTAGAATTCAGCAGAAACATGGAGCACGTGTTGTGGTAGTTTTCAAGTAAACATTCATAATGCCAGAAATTGTTGCTTAGTGCTCCTATAGAGTATAATAGATCTGCCTTATTAGGACTGATTCAATTCAAATTCATAAATACTTTATTAATCTCAAAGGGAAAATATATATATATATTTTTTTTTTCTTTTTTTCAGTTTGTACGACACTAGTGGCTAATTTTTTGGACAGTAGGCTAACAAGAATGGGGATATTAGAGAGGGGAAAGAGATACGGCAAAGGACCACAGGCCGGATTCGAACCCAGGTCGGCCGTGTCAGAGACTAAGGCCTCTGTTCATGGGTTGTGCACATCAACCACTGCGCCACCTGCATTCCCATCCCAAAGGGAAATTAAATATTACAGTTACTCATACGTAGTTTCTGTAAATGTGTTTTAGTTCGATGGCTGCTGCTTCACTTTCTACACCATGATTGTAGAAATTTTACTTTGGCTTAACCGTCTTTCCTTCTTGTAAGCAAGAAAAATTTTTCTGCAGGCTTTTCTGTTTTTTGCTTCTCCCAGCAACAGGTTGGGGAGGGGCAACTTTGCTTTGCTCTATGTGTTATACAGCCAAGGAGAACTTTGATCCTTGTACCTATTTCATCCCACTAAAACTTATCAAAGTCACTGGAGTGCTGTGTTTAAGTTTTGAAACAGCCTCTTTTTAAAATCTTTAGGTACACTGATGCCAGCTAACACATGTCTGGTATACGTGTAGCTCAGCTGTTTCATTTCCATTAAAGAAATAGGTGGACATTTCTAAGTTATTTTGTGAAGTAAAGCAGAATCTGTTCTTCTCTTTTAAAGTCTGGTTTAAGGTGAAGCTGCATTTTAAAGATGCAAAGACGGCTGTGGACAAGAAGAAGTACATCGCCTTCTGGTTGGAGCGCTATGCGAAGAAGGAACCTGGGATGCCTCTCACTGTCGTGTTCGACATGACAGACTCTGGCATTGGCAATATTGTAAGTCCATTTTCTTTGTACTTCATAAGACTTAGACTGCTTTTATTGTAATTTTGTATGCATAGAGTGTATAAAAACAAAATTTCTTTAGTACAGCTTATCAGACAGTAAATGAATATTGCCATTCCTTAAAGGGCAGCAGTGCTCAAGTGTAAACAGTGTAGGGGGAAAAAACATGGCGCAAAAAATGCATTGATATGGAAGAGCATTGGTATGTATATATAGGGAATATTGAAGTTTATTATGATAAGAGGGAGTGCCTGCAATCATATCCTCATTCATCCTGGTGTTTAAGACAAGACCCTCCAGGAGGTCCAGCTCTTCAGTGGTTCTCTTTGGACATTTAATCCTTTCACTCGCTTTTTCATGGATGTTTTCCTCTTGAGGAAGCTCTCAGTCAGTGATGCTCTGCCAGTGAAAGGCCTGTTAAATTTGCAATTAATTGACAAGTAAATGCAGAAAGAATGAACATCTGTAGAGCTCAAATATGAAACGCCTTGTTTTGATGATCCTTTTGGAAAGACATCGTTGGAGGGCTTAGCAGCAGTGAGTCCGGTGGGAAAGAGTGAGGATTCTAACCATTTATGCTGCCCTGCCACGGCCCACAGATCCTATCTGTCAGCCTGTGTAATCAGGCCAGTTAAAATAACCAGTAGAGCAAAACCCCTTCCCCTCCACCCTTATGATTCATCAAGCGTTTCAACTAATCAGAGTCGGTAAAACTTTATAAAGATGGAAATAAAATCTTCTCAAAACATAATATATTTAGATAAACTGCACTTTTTGTAATAGTGTTAGAAATTAACTGAGTTGGGAAGATTTCAAACAAGCTAGCAGTGAATTTGGCTAGTTTCAGATCGAGAGGCGATCAAAGGAGAGCAAACATTTCAGCTTTTTTTTTATTGTCATTACACTGTCACAAGTATAAATCAACGAAATTCACTCTCTGCATTTAACCCATCCCCTTGGGGATTCTAAACGCAATGCCTTAACCACCACGCCACACTCCCCAAACATTCTGCTTTTCACACTTTATACTTGAAGTCTTTTAAGGTTGTTTCATTTATGAATCTTTTTTTGTTTGTTTTAGGACATGGACTTTGTAAAGTATGTCATTAATTGCTTCAAAGTGTACTATCCAAAGTTTTTATGTAAGTAACATCACCCTTAAAGATAAATTGCAGCTATGTGTCATAGATGCTGTATTTCAGTCATTACTAGTGATCTTACAGATGCTTATGAGTCCAATGTGCTATCAGAAAGCCATATTCTCACCGAGGAACATTTTCTTATTTCAGCCAAAATGATCATTGTGGATATGCCTTGGATCATGAACGGTGAGGATGAGTCGGCCTTACCGTGATCGATAATAGAGGTTCTGTGACTTTAAAAATACAAGCTTACATCTTGTCTCCTTGTTGCAGCTGCGTGGAAAATTGTGAAGTCCTGGTTGGGTCCCGAAGCCATCGCTAAGCTCAAGTTTGCTTCCAAAGCTGAGGTCCAGACGTTTATAGGTCCAGAGTACCTTCCGTCCCACCTGGGTGGAACGGTATGCTCTTATCTTTTTCCTGATAGATTTCTTTTAGAAAATACATGTTAGAATTGACTATTTTAAAGAAACCAAATCTTACAGTTTTTCTTGCCTGCTTGTTTGGTCAGTTTAGCTGGAACTGTATGCTGACTGAAAGTTGCTCAGCTATCTGCTAAAAGCTTCTGGTCTTGATTTATGTCCTAACTTGGCTTTCCTTTCAAATTTTTTTTTTCTATATCCCCCGCTTGATGATGCCCAGGATCCCTTCAAGTACACCTACCCCCCTCTGCCAGACGATGACTTCCAAACACCGCTCAGTGAGAATGGACCGATCGTCAGCGAGGACGACATGGAGAGCAAGGAGGGTGAGATGGAGAGCAGAGAAACCCTGGAATCCAGCTTCAACTCTGAGATTGTGGCAAAGCCCAAAAAGGTAAACTGTTAAATAAAATAAAAAAAAATTAGCTTTTTATATTTTCTGTTTTGAAACTTCAGAAATACTTCAGCTCAGTTGCAGCATGTGTTCTCTAAGTAGTCTGCCTTTGACCTCATTTCAACTGTTTAGGGTTGTTATAGTGATTTTCTCATGCGGTTGAGAAATAAAGTCTTTTTATTTTTTAACTTTTGTACATTTGGCAGCTCCTGGTTTTCTGTTGACATTGTTTCATGTAAGGTGTAACTGACCAGGTTAGATTTATGCATTTAAAACTCTGAGTCCTATTCTGTTTAGTTCAAACCTTCAGATTACAGAGTGAAATCAGGCCAGTTATGCGATTTCCATTAAGCTGTTTTTCATGGTGTCTGTTAAATATGTCCTTTAGGGGTTTTTTGGCTTTCATTATATCCAGCTAAGCCCTCACAGTCCCTCCGCTGCTCCTCTGTTCCTTATGGTGTCCACAAAGTATTCCTAAGCTCTTCCCTGCCGTCACTAGATTCCTTCTGCCTGCAGCAAACAGCACTCAGTGAGAATCCCTGCACTGTGGATATGTTGAAGCTGCTGTCGACTCCCTCTCTAGGGTTTCTCAGTGCTGCACCCTGCATGCTGACAGCCCTTCAGCTCATGTCATGTATGTCACCAATTCTTCTAACTCCCCATCAGGATTAACCGGCTCTCCTACCAGGATATTTTTAAGCTTTCTTTTTAGCTTTTGGTCAAGAAGAAGCTTTGTGAACGCCCACCGCAAAGTCATATGAAGGCTCCTGTTAGGATGGACACATTCCTAGGGTTTCTATTGGGCTGTTAAAGTTTGGAATCAGATTTAATGATTTTCCAGGTTGGGATTAGTATGGAATAAGTTAAACAGAGTATGGATCATTTTTTTTATTTCCAGAATTTTTCCCTTCATCTCAATGCATTCGTCTGAAACAACATCACTCATCAACCTGTTTGCCCATTCGTTCATCTATTTTCTGCGTCTGTCCATCAGTTACTTCTGGCGACCTGCCCGTCTGTCCTTCCTTTCTTCCGCTCATCTCGGCATCCATTTCTCTATCTATTGGTCACTTCATCCATCCTTTTGTACATCTGTTTATCAATGTGTTTGTTTGTCCATCTGTCCATCTTTTTTTTTTTTGCAGCCTGAGCACAACAGAAATATCTCCCATACTTTGAATACAAGAAATACCTATAGAATATCATCAAACTTTTTTATGCTTATTTTTTTGTTGCCATTTTCAGCTTCATAGAGGATTCATATTACAAATGGAGCATGAGGCTTAAGGCTGACTCACATATGACAAGGGGAAAAACCTTAGGTTTGCCTGCCGTATACATGAGGAAAACCACATTGAGCGTAGCTATCCCGACAAAGCTCCTGAGGTCCACTCAACAAACAACGCTCCTGTTGTGAAAAATCAGATTATTCAAAAGAGATTTAGACCTTTCAATAGATCGACAGCAGTTATTTGTCAGCCTATTTGCAATCAGACTGAGGTATAAGATTATTTGTAGCCTTACTGGGTTGCTACATTTTAAATCCATATTGTATTTTATTTTTATATTTTATGTCATTTTTTGGTGACTTATGGCCTTTTTAAAATGTGCTTTTTGTTTGGGTTGTATTAGACTTTTGTTACAGAACAAAAAGGGCAGCTTCTTCTATAGGTTATTCAATACAGGCTCTACATCAACATCAAGCTGTTCACCATCAGCTTTTTTTATTTATTTATTGTTAATTTGAAAAAAAAAAAGGACCTCAATATGAAGATTTCTAATAGAAGGAGATTGTTCAGTTAATGTCCAATATTTCATAAGTTGACTAATCCAAACGCTGATCACAACCAGTAAAATGGGATTGAAATCTAAAAAAAGGCACAGAACTTAAACTACATGGCAGATTTTAAGGTGGTTGTTTTTTTTTTTTGTTGGTTTCTTTTTTATATCTGTTTCCACCATTAAATTAAGATTAAAAATACCTAACTACCACACCAGGATATGGATTACATAGAAATGGAAAAAGGGATATAAATTGTCAAGAGGACATGTAGATTGATCTGTTTTAAAGTTTTTCTTTCAGGATTGTTTTTTTCATCCAACTATTTAAGTCAGCCGACTCAGGAAGAGGAAGGTGTTTTTCATTCTAGCTTGTCAAAATATCATTGCACAACCGCTGTGAGGTAACTCCTCACAAAGAGAAGGTGGCTGGGTACACGTCTAAGGAAAGTCTATAAATAAGCTTGCTTGCACTTAGATGGTCTTTAATAAACATTTCATGAATTCTCAGGGTGAAGTGTAGTCGAGCAGCCTCCCTGACAGCTCAAGCCTTTGACTCTGGCAGTCTCGGTAACTTTTATCACCCAATTATTGCCGCACACAAAAAACAAAAAGCTTTGCTAACTCTTCTCTTAGACAATAGCCTCTGTCTCTGCTGTAGCTTTATCTAGTCTGTCCTATGAAACCCGTAGAGGCTTGGACCATCAGGAGGTTTATTATTGTATCACTTGGGGTTATAAAAAAAACATGATATCCTAGCATTTCCTCATAATCTAAGCATAAATCTTAAACATCTAATTGTTTAGGTTTTAAAAGCAACACTGTTTGTGCCACTGGTGTAGCTTTATATAGTTAATTTGTCCTTATTTTGAGACAAAGACTCAACCAACTAAAATCTTTTTTAGTATCATACTTTGAGAACCATGTGTTGTGTGTTTTGTTTGTGTATAGTCTACATATATATATATAAAAAAACACTTAACGGAACAGAATAAATAAATATATAATTTTTTTTTATTTTTTCATAGTGTTGATTTTGTAATGTTGTAGAATCACGTCCCATTTTAGGGCTCTGCTCTTTAGAGGGTAGTAAAGTTAAACCAGCAAATATTTGCCAGTAAACTAGTTGGATTATCTGCTCAGGTAGAGTAAATATGCTCCTCATTACTTGTAACTAAAGCTCTAAAACCGCTTTGCCTCAGGTAAGAGTGGATGAGCTCCGTTGGGTTTCAAAACATGGCGGTCTGCATTTTATAGAGGACATTTTTCCAAATAAGTTAAGAAAAGTGAAGGGAGGAATGGAAGACTTTGTTTAGCCAGCTGATTGGCAATGTGCAGCAACAAGCGGGTGAGGGGCAGAGCTATGTTACACTGTTCCTCAGCACTTTCACTGGCACATCCTCAACATATAGGAACAATTTTAAGAATTGTTTTTGTCTGTTGTTTTGAGACTTTTTAAAACATTTAAAAGCTTGATTAACCCAGATTTTATCTTTTGTTTATGCTCGTTAAATGAATTCATGTTGAAATACAACAATTTAGAGCTTGGAGGACTACTAATAGGAGAGGAAAGTTGAAAGAAGGAAGGGACTGAACATTTAAAGCAGACTAGTTACAGCTTTATTTGTTTTTAGCGTAGCATAGCATAGAGTTATAAACCTTTAATATGGTGTGTTTATATGTATGTGGTGGCTTAAAAGTGTGGCTCTGTGTTACAGCAGGCCTTTGGAGCTTTGAGCCTGACTGAGTGTATTCTGATCCATCTTTTTTAAATAAATTAGATCTCTCTCCAACACTCCTCCACCATCCCCCACCTTAACCACCCTCCATCTGTTCCTAAAGTCTTCTGAGGTCCAGGAAGCATTGAGCTGATAGCTTAATGGCTTCTGGAAGCTAATTTTCTGTCTCTCTCTCTCTTTTTTTTTCTTTTCTTTTTTTTCCCCTTTATGTTATCGGAAACGAGGGGTGGCTGTGGTAAGGCAGTTTAGGATCACAACCACAGCAGAAGCCCAGGGAAGATCTCTGCAGGCTGGAAAGGCAGGTTGTACTCAAAGCTGTGACTCAAAGGGTTTGAGTACTCCTTCCTCCAGAGTCGACTGACGTTGCTGCCATCACTCCTACACACCCATCCCATCATCCATCCCGGAGCTCAGTTTTCTAATTCGACCCAGAATATTGCTTTTTTTTTTTTTTTTTATTATTACCCACAGCTTTTTATTTGCACGTCGTAGAAATGCTTATGTAAGCGAAGCGAGACACACATTTCACAGTTTAATTAGCTCTTAGAAAAGGGCCAGCACACTCCCTAATGTCCATAAATGTTTCACGTTATTTGTCTCGTCTAACCTCCGATTATTAACCACTGAGATAATTACTGTTCTATTACAGTAGACCAACTTATTAACCCTCAGCACTTAATCTTCAATCAAAGCTGCTTTTTAATATAAGCCTTCAGTGCCTTATCTTTATCCAAGTCTAAGACTTGAAAGTTTTTAATCATGTAGACAATCTAATGTGCCTTAACTTTAATTGCACAAAAGCATGTGCATTTTATATGTCTGATTTTGCATTTCATATTTTACACAATGTGTAGAAATAGTGTCTTAAATCTCTATTACAATGGTCTCTAATTTTTTCATTCAACTATGGTCACTTAATTTGTTTCTCATATTAGAATATCCTCTATTTTTATGTGCACTATTAATCTATAATGGATTTTTATTTTATTGTAATATGTGTGGGGAAAAATGGAACTGATGATTGTTCTCATCACTACAATGTACTATTAATTGCAAAATCTGTAATAAAGTGCAATCAGCCTAACACCATTAACTCCATATTTATACATAATTGTGTAATTCTTTCGTTTGACATTTAATAAACAATCCCATTGGAAGATGATTATCTCTTCATGTCTTTTTTTCGGTGCAGTTGCAAAATAAAGTGACGACAATCTTCAGGTTTTTACATATTTAAGCTTATAAACTGGAGTATAAACTTCCCTGTTGAGTCAGCAGTGCTTCTGTCACGTGTCCCCAGACCCGACTGACCCCCGCATCCTTCGCTCCTGTTTGCCTCCTCCTAACGTTCTCCCTCCACTGTACCGCCTCTGTGGTTCAAGCATTCACTTCCTCCAGCTGGTCATGCTTCCATCTTTAAAGGCTAGGCCCACCATGTAACAAGTCTCCATATCCAGTCAGCCTTTTTGTGGTCTGCCTGGGAGGGATTTGGGTCAAAGTGTGTCAGCATTTCGCTGCTCCCTCATGTGAGGAATCTCATGACTTCTGTCTCCATTGACCTAACTTTATTCGTGGGGGGGGAATTATGTCAAAAGTTATACGTTGGCTTGATTCACTAGTTCTGTATTTTCATAGATATTTTTTACTTTTTTTTTGTCTGTTCAGCAGTTGAAGTCCAGAATTTCACAATAAGCTTATTTAATGAAGATTGTATCCTGATTTCAATGACGTTTACCCACTATTTTAATCTAACACTTTATTGATTAAAATTGACTATATTGACTTCTATAAACTGATAGGGACCTCTTGATGGAGGCCAAAGGTTAAACGTTTTATTTAAGAGGGGTTCCAGATAAGATGTAGATGAATGCTTAGCCATGTTTTGGTTTTTTGTTCTCTTTTTTTTTTGTTCTTGTGTGTGTTTTCTAACCATGTGGCCTTTTCTGTTTCAGGTGAATTTTCTAGAAGAGAGCTTGAGGTCAGACGATGGTGAAAGAGACACAAACGTGAGGGTGAAAGGAGTCAGGAAGCCACAGACCACTTTCAAAGGTCTTCTGTTAGATGTCAGGTAGGCCCTGCTTTTTCTGTTTTTCTAACTGTTACCATGTAAACCTGATTTTAACTGGTGGTTAAACCAGTGATGCACAAACATTTCCTGCTGGGCCCCCCTTTTGGTTTATAAGAGATGCCCCTAATACCGCCACCAACCAAGCAACGTTTCACAGTTGAGCAAAGAAAAATCAACTACTGTAGATTTTCATATTGCAGAAAAATAAACAACAATCTTTAAATAAAGTACATCTTTAGAGTGCAATTACTAACTTTTTAAATTGTACAAACCTTGAGGTTCTCAATGTTTTATTATGTTTCTACTGAGTACCGTACAGTGTTTGATTGGATTTTAAATGATTAAGCCAACACAAAGTAAGTAGTGCGTAATTATGAAGAAAAAAAACATTGCTTTGGAAATGTTTAACAAATAAGCCCAAAAAGCCATGTCTGCATTTGTATTTAACCCTTTACTAAGAAGTGGTGGGAGATCCTTCAGACAGATGAGGCCATAATGATAGTGGTGGCATAGTGCTGTGCCTGTGATTGTCCTTAGTTTGTCATAAAGACCTGCTAGTTTATTAGGAGATGAGTGAAACTAAGAAACCTGAGATAAGGGGGGGGGGGGGGTTGGGGGGGGGGGGGGGGTTGTTCCTTTCAGCAGGAAAACCAGCTCAAAACATACTGTCTGAGGTACAGTTTGTGTTGTAGATCAAAGTATACCCCAGAACACTTAGGTTATTTGCAAAAAAGATGATTCTGCAAAGATTTTATCATAAATACCACTCTTCTTTGGTTTTAATATACAAAAAAGAAATATAAAAAGTAAAATAAAGCATAAATCAGTTTTCCTTGTTTGTGTTAGTTTATCATGAAATTCCAATAAAAAAGTGGCAATATACTAAAGTCCTTCAGAAGCTTTCTCTTGTTTCAACGTCTTTACAGTGATTGCATACAATCCTGTTTTGATGCCCAGCGGTTGCATTCAGTGGCACCATATGGGGAGGCCCAAAAGAAGCAGAAGAAGAAAAGATTATTCACACTATTATTTTTCAAATATGAAATGAAAATCCAGCAATGAAATAAATTATATTTGTGTTCTCCATCATTTTTCAGCTGTAAACAGCGAAACAAAGCATGAATATATTAAATATACCATTAAAATATTATGTAATTTTGTATTATACCATTTTATACTATTAAACGACATCTATAAATCTTGATCATTCTCATGAGCAGCCGGAAGCAGCCACACAAAAAATATGTCATTAAATGTATACATGAATGAGAAATTAGTTCTCTGGGCCAGCATAGAAATAACCTGTCCTTTTTTTAAAATGATAGCGAAACCTAATGGGAATATATTTTCACAATCCAAAACCTATTTTCCATTCATGTGTACATAGATACAGCTGTGTGTGTTTTTTTTTTAAAATAAGCTGGTATTATTTTAATAGGATGTAAATTTTAAAGTTAATGTATATTTAACTTTTCACACTCTGATCATTTTCCTTTGTAAAAATTTTACATTAAAAATTACATTGAAAATGTAAATGATACCTTTTTGTGCATATAGCAGTATAAAAGCTTGCACATATTTTTTTATTTTTTTTGGTGTGAGGGGGGCCCAATATCAATGTCTTTCATGGGGCCCCAAATTCCTTGCAGCATCCCTGGTTGTATTCCAGCTCTTATCATAAGATCTGGATTTAAGGCTTTTGGTTTTTTAAATCTTTTTAACATGAATGATGTTATGGCTAATCTTTGACATTTAAAAATATTTCTTAATGGATGAACTCCAGCTAAATGGAACAAACTGCAGTTGTGCTTCGTCTTTGTTCCACTTTTAAGGTGGCATCTTTAATATGTTAGACTTCATTCTCATATTAATTGGTATTTCTGATTGCTTTGCTTTAAAAACTTTTTTATATCATAGCTAATTTAATCTTTACCATAGCATGTCCTTTTTCGGCTCTTGTCCTTTCCAGTTTTGCCATTCCTTTTAACCAATAGTCCTTGAGGAGCACGTGTGAAGTCATGCAGACTGACAAGAAACTGATGGATCAGAAAACATAGCTGCTGCTAGTTTTCCAGCAGCATTTTAATCATTTTTTTTAACATGCAGGGATATATAAATATTCTGTTAAAGTGGCAGGCATTTAAAAAAATAAAATAATTGCTCTCTTCCCACAGGTAGTGTGACATGCATCCTTTACAGTTACACTGGAAAGCAGGGTCAGGGCATTTCTTCTAACTTCTGTCTTTCACAGTCTAATGTAAGATCACAAAATCATAGCTTAAAACAAACGTGAACAATTTTCCTGAAATTGTCTCCTGTGTGTGAAAGTCCAAGGTCACAGTTTATACCAGCCATAACCTCTGGAGGGTGACCCCAAAACTTCTTATTAGATTATTGTTGGTTTTATAGCTTTACTATTTTGTACACCTAATTCATTGTCTAGCTGCTTTTTTTTCTTAGTTTGATTGATTGATTGATTTATTTAATGTAGGGCCTGTTGCCCCAAAACTAAAAATAATTAAAATCATCATCTAATCCTGTTCATATGTATTATCATTTTGTGCTTCTTGATTAAAACTCTAGTTTCAGCTCCACATCACTATACTCCCACCACCATGCTTCCCTGTGGGCTTAGTATTCTTCTGTAATGCGAAATGTACTAATTTGAATTGTGTCTTTGGAAAAGCTTTTAGTTGATTAGTTTTTTAGGGAATTGTATTGCATGGTGGACGTTTTATTTACAGGAATCAGCTCCTCACACAAAATCCCACATTGTTGTCCAGATTGATATTTAGGATGCAGAAAAATATCACATGTGGAGCACAACTAGAATCTTTTTAATCTTTTAAATTGTCTATTTTGCCTATTCCGAGGTAATGATCACACTGTCCCGTGGTTTCTATCCTAAATTTATGGTGTTTTCAGGTAAACAACATTTTACAACATCTAATGTGACAGGCAAAACTGAACTTTATGTTATTTGTAATCAATGTTAGTTTGGCAAAGCTGAAATTAAATTAAAGTCAATTAAGGTATTAATAGAGGATGTGAACACATACAAACGGGTTATAGCACCAGTGCCTCTTTCTAAAGGCTTTGTTGGATTTTTCATTGTTGTTTCACATTGCAATTATACTGTATTGAATTAGATTAGATTAGATTAGATTCAACTTTATTGTCATTACACATGTACAGGTACAAGGCAGCGAAATGCAGTTTACCGGTAGGTCTATATTACTACAGGTGCTGGTCATAAAATTAGAATATCATGAAAAAGTAGATTGATTTCAGTAATTCCATTTAAAAAGTGAAACTTGTATATTATATTCATACATTACATACAAACTCATATATTTCAGATGTTTATTTTGTTTAATTTTGATGATTACAAATGACAACAAATGAAAATCTCAAATTCATCATATCAGAAAATTAGAATATTGTGAAAAGGTTCAAAATTGATGGCCCCTGGTGCCACACTCTAATCAGCTAATTAACTCAAACCACCTGCAAAAGCCTTTAAATGGTCTTTCAGTCTACTTCTATAGGCTACACAATCATGGGGAAGACTGCTGACTTGACAGTTGTCCAAAAGACGACCATCGACACCTTGCACAAGGAGGGCAAGACACAAAAGGTCATCGCTAAAGAGGCTGGCTGTTCACAGAGCTCAGTGTCCAAGCACATTAATAGAGAGGCGAAGGGAAGGAAAAGATGTGGTCGAAAAAAGTGTACAAGCAAGAGAGATAACCGCACCCTGGAGAGGATTGTGAAACAAAACCCATTCAAAAATGTGGGGGAGATTCACAAAGAGTGGACTGCAGCTGGAGTGAGTGCTTCAAGAACCACCACACACAGACGTATGAAAGACATGGGTTTCTGCTGTCGCATTCCTTGTGTCAAGCCACTCTTGAACCACAGACAGCTTCAGAAGCGTCTTGCCTGGGCTAAAGAGAAACAGGACTGGACTGCTGGTGAGTGGTCCAAAGTCATGTTCTCTGATGAAAGTAAATTTTGCATTTCCTTTGGAAATCAAGGTCCCAGAGTCTGGAGGAAAAGAAGAGAGGCACTTCATCCACGTTGCTTGAAGTCCAGTGTAAAGTTTCCACAGTCAGTGATGGTTTGGGGTGCCATGTCATCTGCTGGTGTTGGTCCATTGTGTTTTCTGAGGTCCAGGGTCAACGCAGCCACATACCAGGAAGTTTTAGAGCACTTCATGCTTCCTGCAGCTGACCAACTTTTTGGAGATGCAGATTTCATTTTCCAACAGGACTTGGCACCTGCACACAGTGCCAAAGCTACCAGTACCTGGTTGAAGGACCATGGTATCCCTGTTCTTAATTGGCCAGCAAACTCTCCTGACCTTAACCCCATAGAAAATCTATGGGGTATTGTGAAGAAGAAGATGCAATACACCAGACCCAACAATTCAGAAGAGCTAAAAGCCACTATTAGAGCAACCTGGGCTATCATAACACCTGAGCAGTGCCACAGACTGATCGACTCCATGCCACGCCGCATTGCTGCAGTAATACAGGCCAAAGGAGGCCCAACTAAATACTGAGTGCTGTACATGCTCATACTTTTCATGTTCATACTTTTCAGTTGGCCAACATTTCTATAAATCCTTTGTTTTTATTGGTCTTCAGTAATATTCTAATTTTCTGATATGATGAATTTGAGATTTTCATTTGTTGTCATTTGTAATCATCAAAATTAAACAAAATAAACATCTGAAATATATGAGTTTGTATGTAATGTATGAATATAATATACAAGTTTCACTTTTTAAATGGAATTACTGAAATCAATCTACTTTTTCATGATATTCTAATTTTATGACCAGCACCTGTATAAAAAAGGTTTTTAGTTATGTGCAATAGCATAATATACAGATGGGTTTTACTATAAAATGAATAAATAAAGTTTGGACAGAAGCTATCTAAATTAAAGTGCAGTGGAAGGTAATTGCATATTACAGTTAAATTACGTTATTGCAAATGTATATGTAAACAATTGGTACTGTGGATGTACAGTCAGCAGTGCAAATATAAGCAGTCGGCAGGGCAAATCAATTGAATGTATTGTACTGAAATGTATCCAAGTCAATTATTCTTAAAATAAGAATATTTTCCTTTCCACTGAAGAGGCAAGGCAGTTTGCCAAAATAATAAGATGATCTATGTCTAAAATAAGTAAACACAGCTCCATTATCTTATTTCTACTGCATGATATGTGAATATGTTATTTAAGGGGCAAACTTTTTCATTCCATTGGTAGATCATCTTATTTACCTGCTTAAATGAAAGGAAAATGCGCTTATTTTAAGTTTGCTTAGTTTTAAATCGTTATTTTCCAGTGCACTGGAAAAATGTCACATCAAAGCTATGAAAGCTTTAGTTAATAATTGTGGATTCTTTTTCAAGTCTCCTTGATCTAACAGAGATTTTAAAACTTTCTATGTCCTTCCTACATGTTGCTTAGTGCTTCAGGGTATTGAGGAAATAGAAAAAGCTGATCCCAGCTGCAGCAGCAGCAAGACTTGTTTGGCTGCACTGGATTACTTCTGCATAACTGTCATTACGTTAGACTGCTCTCGTCACACCAGTTAAATAAGGAAGTCTCACAGAGACGGCTTCTTCTTTTTTTCTGTCCATTTTGAGTATGACATTATCAAAACTATGCCATCAGTTTCAAGGAAATCGAAAGCTCTTGATATCCGAATGAAGGTGAAAAATGAAAATTAGATAGTTGATGAATATAACGGTAATTACAGCAGGAGGCATGAATCACAGGAAAGCGGAACAAATGGGGGAAGTCATTTCTTTGTATAAACAGAATGGCCACATGGCTTTGGCAGAGTTAGTTTAGCCCCTGAGTGAGCTGTAAATAGCATCCATGCACCGTCTGGCTGTGATGTAGTCATACATTTAGAGATCATTTTAAAACATGTCTATTTTTCTAATAACATGCTGAATTAATTCATGCAAGCCTGCCCACATTTTAACAAACTTCATTTAAGTTATTTAAAATTGCAGGTTTTTGAAAAGCCACTATTACAAAATGTCCCCTTTGTGACTTTTAGTTTGTTTCCTTGCATTTGTTTTGACCTTTGCAGGATTTTTCCTTGCAGGTTCACTGCAGCACAAACCTGACCAAACATATCGGTTTGTTTTTCCGCTAACAACTCTACCAGTTAGGAGTGAGAGCACATATCTGGGTCTTATCAGCGAGCTGTTCTGCAGCTGTAACCAGCATATGTTGCAACGGCAGTGGACTTAGAACTCATTTGTAGACATAAAGCCTCAAGCCAAAGGTGCCAGCTTAGTAGTAATTTTATCAGTTTATTTACAAATTTTTCATTTGATCTCGTTATATTGAGAGGGAATCACCTGTAGCCAATTATTAATCTGTTTAGAAAAATATGTAAAGGCAATATTACAGAATTATTTTATTTTTAATATGGTTACATTAAGTAAAATAGCTGTGAATTCAATTTTACCTGCTTACCTGTTCTTTTCACAGTGGAGGAAAGTTTAGTTTTTCTACACATCGACTTCATGCTTCAGGTCATTATCAATGTTTTTTTGCTATTTTGCTCTGATTGATCCAGTGAGATGTTACCGGGGATCAACGTTGTTTTCAGTCAATTTTCCATTGATTTAAAAATGACTTGTTGTTGTAAATCAAACACTAAAGCCAATTCTCCTCACAAACACTAATTAATTAATCTGCACTAAACAGGAACTTCTTCTTGGTTTCCATCATACCATCTAATGCTTTGGACAGTAATTTGCAGAAGTAATCTTTCCCTTTGACTTTTGCCATATTTTTCAACTGTACAGTTGAAATTTCGTCACTCTGTACAGCCATAACCTAGTCTGTATTATTGGGATTGTGAATGTGTCAATTTTTAAAAATTTTCCCCCTAAAATAAAAAAAAAAAAAAAAAATATGCATGAATTTGTGTTCAGCTTCACTTAACTGATCTTTCTAAATAAAAATGCTTTTATAAGTCACCTAATAAGTAGAAAATCTGCAGGTCTGTGGTCGGATTTCAACAAGAACTATTTTTATGCCTCCAAGGTTTGGTAAAAATCATTTATGAACAAACCCTATCCTTAATATGTAAATATGGGGAATGCACTCTCTGCATTTTGACCCATTTCTTGGCTACCATTGTGCGGTGCCCAGGGAGCAGCGTGGGGTTAAGGGTCTTGCTCAGGGACCCAGAGTGGAGGGTGTGGGCATTGAGTCAGGTGCTTGCAATGTTCTGGGAGCACAAGTGAGCTGCTATAACCCACTAGGCCAACACAGACCAATTTAAGACCAAGCAGGCTTAAAGCAGTCAAGTCGTAACATTATCTTAAATGAACATGTCAGAGCAGCATTCAATCAATCATCAGAAAATGGAAAGAATATGACACAGATCCTTACCTACTAAAATAGGAAGATCCACCTAAATCCACCTCAGATGGTGATAATAAACCTGAAAACACTGAGTACAATTAAGGAGTACATGAGAACAAAGAACCCTGAGGACATTCCCCCGAAGATATTGCAGTCATAGCTATATGATCTAAAAGCTGCGTTTAACGGTATGATAGCGCTAAGGGAATTTTTGGTTACATGTTTATTTAAGAGATATAAAATGAAAAGTAGGCTCTATACTGATAGGCTGGGCAAAAACACCATTTATCAGGGAAACAACAAGGAGAACCTTGGTAACTGTAGAACAGTGATAGAGATTCACTCCTCAGGTGGGAGAATGTGTCTTCAGAACAGCTGTTGCTTTCCACTGAGCAAATCTGGCCTTTATTAACGAACGGAGAAGAAAGAAGAAAGCCATTGTTGAAGGAATGCACAAAGCAGCTCTACTCATACTTTGCTATAAGCCGTTTATTGAATGCAGCAAATATGTGGAGGATTGAGCTCTGGGCAAATGACCTAAATGAAACTTTTTCTGACCTGCATGAAAAAAGAACCCCCCACCCCCCCCAGCTAATGTTAGTTTCAACCAACCCAAATACATTGAACTGAAATGCTTTCAGTTTAGTTTCTTCAAGTGTTGCAACTGTTTTACCTCACATTATATAACGTTATTTTCAACAATAATGTCAGCCGAGTTCTCTTTTACACTGCTTGGTGGCTTTTTGATGTGAGGATTTCTGACCGCTCTAAGCTGTGAATTAAAGTGATAAACCGATTATATTGAGCTTTAAATGCAGAAAAGACTTCAGAGCTGTGTTAGCTTTTAATTCGAGGCCGGGGGCTTCAGAAGAGTGGTGGTCTTTGATCTTGTGTTTGCCAGAGGTTCCTTGGCTCGCAGGCATGTCTCTGCAGCTGGTTGAAGGGAGAGAAGAATACACAAGGACATTAGGAAGACGAAAAGGTTTTGTTCTCATCTGTTTTTTAAGCCATGGAGCATAACTAGGCTGGGTTTTGATTAACTATTGAAATCTGTGCTGGTTTCCTTGTTATCAAAGCTTATTTCCACTGTTTTCACTTTGCACTAAAGCCAATTCAGTCTTATCACATGCCCTGCACATCCAAGTTGGACTGATGGAAACTTGGTTGGAGGATAAATTTGAGGCTCCCCATCACAAGGAAAATAAAAAAAGTACGTTATGCCTAAATTTTAAGCCACTGTATTTTTCTCTTGGCTATGAACTTTATAGCTCTCTCCTGCCTGCAGTTCATCTAATACCGAATGGTGATTTTCTGCTCCAGTGCATGATGAAATATCCATCTGTAAATAAACGCTCCTTCAGGACAAAGTCAAAAACTAAAGAGGCAAAATTATCCTTTTTTTTTTCATCCTCAAAGTCCTATGACTTTTACAGTTCATTGAATTGTTAAATGTTGGCGGACTTTTCAGACAGCCAGTATGATGATACTGAACAAGAAAAAAGAGATGCCCAGCTTTATCCGTGTGTTTTAAATAACTTCCATCATTTTATGTTGAATCTCAGTCTTAAAAAATAGAAGATTTAGAAGTATTTAGTGCTACCCCAGTATAGGATGAAATAATTGTAAAGCTTTTTAGATCCTTTAACCAAGAGGGTCGATAATTGTAAAGGTTTTCTAAATACCACCTCGATCCAGAGTTTAAGATTCAGGAAATTATTTTTTATTGTTTGAACTTTGAGTGATGAATTCAAAATTAGTTTTTTTTTTTTCCTTCACAGCACAGCCCAAAATAATTTTGAACAAATAAACAAAGAAGTCCCATTTGTGAAAAGCGTGTTTTTCAGTCTCTGAGTTGCAGCAAATTCCTACAGAAGCTGTCGCTTTGGGACAACACATTGTTTAGCAGGAAAAGCTTCATATCCCCAGTTAATTAGACCTCACAGACACATAGGCGAAACAAAAATGCACTGGAACAGAATTAAATGAGATGCTTATAGGAAAAATAAGAGACTTTTATAATAATAAAAAAACAATGACATTGCCTTTTTCTAATAACTGAGCTTGTAGTTCACTTCAGGGATTTTCTTGTGGTGTTGTTCCTTTAACATGATCTCTTTTTTTCCGTCAGTCCTGCTGAGGAGCTGAGCTTTGGGTCTGCAGAGAACGAGAAGAAATGCCTCATTATTCTGAGTAACGTCACCAAAAATCAGGTGGCCTTTAAGGTAATTGGGAAATCCTTTCTATTCAGCCTTAAGAGATCATATCACTATGCAGGCTTGGTAATGAATTAAGGTGTTTAATCTAATGAATGGGCCACTGGCCTCTGTGTGTCCAGGTTCGTACTACAGCACCTGAGAAGTACAGAGTAAAGCCCAGCAGCAGTAGCTGTGAACCAGGGGCCTCGGTGGACATAGTGGTGTCCCTACATGGAGGTACGGCACTTAGCACTCTGCACGCTATTCACAGCAGCTGAGCCTCAGAATAATCAAACACGGCACTCACCCTCCAAAAGTGCAGGCAGCCGCTTTTTCTTTACCTGACATGCATATTTCAGGTGAGATAAAAGAATCGCCTGCTCCCAAAACAAACCGTCAGACAGCTGACAAGAGAGTTGAACCAGAGTTCGACCTTCAAACGGTTTGAGGTGTCGATGTGTCGAGCACATCTGAGAAGAATCAGCAAAGCTGGCTTTGGAGTTGCTGTTACCTTGGTTTTTTGTGCTGTGATATTGAGTTTTTCCAAACTGTCAATCAGTTCTTTTGAACAAAGCTGTGCCTCTTTTAGCAAAAAGTCAAATTATTTTATTGATGCTGATTAATACCACGCTATTTCTTTAATATTCTAGAACAAATTATTAATATCTTCGGATTATTAAAAGTTATATTACTGAAGAAAGAATTGATGAGGTTTCAGACAACTGCCCAGCACTCAGGAAATTGTTTTGCCATTAAATGATTTTAATGATGGTTTTGTGCAGGTTCTCAGGCCTCCCCTCAAGACAGATTTTTGATCATGGCTGCTGAAATGGAGAACGTCGGATCGCAGGAACTTACTCAGTTCTGGAAAGAAATCCCAAAAAACAAGGTGATGGAACACCGGTGGGTATCAGTTCCTTCATATTAACCCGTTGATAACATACGATGCAGACAAACTGAAGAAAACCTGTCTGTATATGGAATCTATCCCTCTTGCAGATTGCGTTGTCATGTTCTGGATAGTATTAAACCGGCAGCCAACCCTCGCAGGGACAGCTTGGGGGAGACGTCAACCAGTGGACAGCAGGAGTTGAACTCCGCAGTAAGTTTTAACATCAGGATTTGCTGCCACTTTTTTGCCATCAGGCTCAGCTCATTCAGATTTTTTTTTTTATGATGTGTTTAAGAACATTTATTGTAAATCAGGTGTTTAATATGCAAATATAATGTCTGTAGCGTCTTCTTAGATGTTAGCATGATTAGTTAAAGTATAAAAGGAGTTTATACTGTATAGTTTCTTACTAGGGCTGTGCGATATGACCTTAAAATTAGGGATGCACGATATAATCGGCCCCCTATCGGTATCGGCCTGTATCGGCCTTAAAACTGAATATCGGACATCGGCCACCCCACCAATATTTAACCCAATATTTGATCAGCTTCTGAGTTTCTAAAGTAAAAAAAAATAAAAAATACTACTTCTTCTTCTTCCTCAAAAACTTCTTTTTTACAGACTTAAAAACTTCTAAAGACGAGGGAAAAAATATTGATACATTAAAATATCTTCATATGCTGATATATTGCCATTTAAAAACACCATATCAATCTCTTACTAATGAAATATTGCTATATGTCATCGTTATGCTACGAAATCCCCCGAAAATTCACAAAATTTTGCCATATTTTTATATGTTGATATATTGACGCGGTATCGATCTATTTTACTAACAAAATCTCACAAGAATTTGCAAAATATCACGAGAGTTTGTAACAGAACGATGAAATTTCACAAGATTTTGAAAGTAAAATAGATCGATACCGCGTTTTTAAAAATCAATTTGATATCAGCATATGAAAATATATTTGAGTATATTATTTTTCAAAGTGTCAGAAATGGATAACAAAACTGCTATTTTCAATGACTACTTATTTTTGTCCAGCTTTAACATAGGTATCGGTTATCGGCTACATGAGTTTTAAAATATCGGCGTATCGGATATCGGCCAAAATCCCAATATCGTGCATCCCTACTTAAAATCTTATTACAATATTATATCTTACCAACATGACGATAAAATTGATAATAAAACTTCATTCCTCATTAATTTCTTGAAGTTGTACTTAGGTAACTGTATAGCTGTGACTGCATGCAACAGCAATCATAGCTCGGCATTTACAAACATTAAACTTGAAAATTATACAAATTTGGAAAGGGCTTCTTAAGGTAAACCAGTTGCATCACTAAATATCCCATAGTAGGTTTATTATATCCATTCCACCAGCATATCTTTTATATTTGTACCGCTGATTAAAGTAGCAGGAGAAAATCTCTTGCATTACAGGGTGCTCTCTTTATTAATCCACCCAAACATTTTCAGTTCCTCTACTTCTCATTTTAAATCTCCACTAGCATACAAAGCAAAAATAATTTACTTTGCATACTGTATGAAATTTTCTGAATATATATGTATGGTATACTGCTCTTCTTCAACACCAGATATATTCTTTTTTTTACCAGCTTATGCGAGTGATGGCCTGCAACTCTAGGCTGGAGCAGAAAATGAATTCCTGTCTGTGGGTGCAGAAGGTTCTGACTGGCTTGGTGCTAGTCCTCATAGTGCTGAACCTGCAGTGTCTCTACCTGCTGGGTACAGCTCAGCGGCCGTCTTGACCTACTGCAGCACCGTCCGCCTGCGTCTGTCAGCGCCGGAGGAGGTGCTGACACTTCCAGCTGGGCCACAGTTGACCACCTGATGGGACGCGGATCCTCTGTCCCACGCGTCCAGTTTCCTCCGACTGCTGTCCAGCAGGGGAGAAGAAGTACTTCCAGGACAAGTCAGTCAATGGGAGCTAAAGAAGAAGGAAATATTATTCTGCCGTTTTCTCAGTTAATGTAACAGAGACAATTGTAGGTTCTTTAATGGCTGATCCTGAAAACATAATTTAAATTAATAACATTTATTAAAATTTGTTGGAAAGATTAGTCATATTAAGCTTTATTTAGGATTTTTTTATATGTATGAATCTACAAAAAATCTATTTAAACCTACACAATATGAAATAAACCCTTTTTATTCATGCTTGTGTTTCTATTCTCATCTACTCTTACTTCAGCCACTAAAGCTCTTCAGTTATGCAAAAATCTTCCCTCTGTTTAATAAAACCTCATTAACATAGCACTTTGTAATTGAAAACATTGCAGCCTATGACCTTACTAAACTTCTCCACACTCAGACCCAAAGCCCAAAGGAGAACTCCATCTGCACCATCTCATTTTGTTTTAATTACCCCAACACTAAACTCCACTAAAAATACCAAAGCAATTACTGGTGGAGCACAAGGACAAGGCACAACACACTCGTATCTTAGTGGGAAGCCCTGATATCTTAACAGGATCTAGCTCGGAGCAATCGGGGTGCGAGCCGGACTGTGTGAAGTGAACTCGTTATTAGATGTTTGCACACCCAAGAGACGTCTGAAATCAACGGCTGCCGTTTGTTTTCAGTGGGTGGTTGTCACTTAGACTGATTCATGTAATATGAGAAAACTAATCCGGCTTTGATTATAAAAACGGCTCTTTTGGATACCACAGAAAGTCTAATCCTTGAAGATTTTTTTTACAGCAAACGGAAAAAAGTATTAAGACCTTTATAAATCAGTACACATTTTTTTGGGACTTTATTCAATGAATCAGCTTTAAGCTATGTAGAATTGTGGCGAGTCACACCGAAAAAGATCCAAACTTCAATTCAAGTTCAACCTTTATTGGTTACAATCATGGATGTAATGTTGATTTCAGAAGTAGTGGGAGGCTAATTTAAAATATTTAACTATCTTCAGTGTGTTTGACCACCGAATCACAGACCTGATCCAGTGGCACATCAGATGTTTGTAAAGTGAGCTTCTCAGGAATAACAGCGGTGACAGCCAATCACACAAGAAAAAACAATGGGCCAATCAGGAACTTGTGGGCATTCAGCTTGAGCTGCAGTTTTCCGCTTGGTCCTAGTGCTCAACCAATCGGCAGCAAATCCTGATGTTGAAACTCACTGCAGACTTCAACTCCTGCTGTCCACTGGTTGCCGTCTCCCCCAGGCTGTTCCTGCGAGGGTTTGCTGCTGGTTTAACACTATCCAGAACCTTTGTTACAATAAACGATAACCTAAAAGAACATACTTTTTTCTTTAACCCCCTCAGGCTCCAAATGAAGTTTTAGTTGCAGGAAAAATCTTATATTTGGGGAAAATTATCATATGGGGTAGTAATATACAATTTAGACTTTTTTTTTTTTTTTGAGAAAGAGACCTTCACATGCGATGAATTCTAGGATGTTGCAGATTTGCAACAGTGGCCCGGAGTGGTAAATTAACACGGAAGACTGAATCTGATATGAACATTAACTTTATTTGAATGTCACAAAAAAAATTAACAAAACAAAATTTGAAAAAAAAAAAAAAAACATTCACAAAATTAGAGACAACTTTTTCTCAAACTTTTTCTCCACCGACATCTCAAAACCTCTTGAGAAGGCTGTTTCTGTTAAGCTGTTGCTAAAAATATAGGCAAACTAGTAGATAAAGCATTTAGCATCCATTGGTACCTGTTTGAGCACATGTTGCGAATCCACAACAATGAAATCGAGATGCCTCTGCTGAAAAACCCAGAGGAGATAAAATCTACTAATTGGCATGTGTCATATCTATACACATTCATGATTCATCTTATGTAGTATTGATTTCAAAATAATGGAAATTGGTAGTGATACTTACATGAAATTGGTGCTTAGAAAATAGGTTTCAGTGACACCAAGGACTCAGCCATGTTGATAGTGAGTTAACAGTGCTATCTGGTGAGCTGGAGAGAAACAGTTTGTTGCAAATGCACAACTAAGTCCTTCTGTTGTATATCTGAGTAACCAAAGTTCTTAAAATATGGATGTGGGGTAATTAGCTAAGTGGCATTTAGCTGTTGCAAATCTGCAACATCTGCCTGGAGAGGGTTAACTTTTGCAGCACCTTGTTTGTGAAAAAAAGCTAACAAGGCACATTATCCACACCGTGAAACATCATGTTGTGGGAATGTGTTGTGTAGCAGGGACAGGAAAGCAACCTCAACTAGTACTGAAGTTCACTTTGAAAACAAACAGTCAAAAGTTCAATGGGACGGAATAGATAAAAGGTGTTAAAAATGTATGTTGGTAAAATAAATCCATCTAACCTGAATGAGGTTAAGACATTTTGCAAGAAAAATGAATCAATGGAATCCAAGGTTTTGGCTGGTAATGACACTGCTTAACAACTTGAAGCTGTAATTGTAAAATACAAAATAGTTCAAGAGTTATTAAAGACTTTGCAAAGCCCTTCTTGCTAATCAGCCGCCTTATTTTCATATTCTTGATCTCTCGCAGCTGTTTGTAGAAGATATAGGATTGTGTGATAAACACGTCCTCTCTAGATTGAAACTTGCACGTTCACATAAAAATTTAGCCTTAATTACTCATGAAAACACCCTTTTAGGATTTTTGGTGGATAAAAAGTGCCACAGTATATAAACAAAGAGGAAGGAAAGGAAAGGATGGGGATTAATGGAGTGTGTGCCCCTGGAGAATACTAGTAAAAGCTTTGGTATCACACATACATAAGCTGGTTTTAAGTGCATCTGAGTGCCACGGCGTACCTGGCTAAATGTAGGAAAACATCAGGCAGCCTCCATCGGAAATGCAGCTGTGACTGAAGTGGATTGTTCTTTAGATGGCCACGTGATTACAATCCCCTGGCACATTCCTCTCACCAATTTGTCAAGATCCTACTAACTACTGGACAGTGTGTACAATAAGTGTTTCCCTGCAGCTGTAGTAGTCAGATCCTTCTCCAAGGAAATTGATTTTAAAATTAAACAGCCAGTTAAATCGAAATATGCCTTAGTGTGTTTCTGACTCCTGGGCACTTGTGCAACATTTGAAATCGGACAATGATTTAGTTTGGTTGGTAAATTGGGACAAAAGGATCGATACAGACTCAATGAGTGTTGCATTTAACAAGGGCGAACTGAGTGACTTTAACATCTAAGGCTACCAAAGCAAATGATAGAGGAGCGTGGTTTGGACACATCTCTTTAAATTCACTAGTTAGATTAATGCTTAAAATACACCTGCTACCAAAATTAATCCTTTTAAATTAAGGCTGTAGAAGAAGAGGTAGCAATTTCAGTTTGCCATTACATCTGCATATGGAAGGAAGCCTTCTGGTCACATCAGGCAAAAACTAAACCCTCAATTTACTGTTCTCCGCTAGAACATGATGGTTACAGTGAGGATACTTTTGTTCAGCAGGATGAGGCAATTCTGGAAGATAAAGTTTATACTGGTTGTCTGATGCTCTGAACTACCATATCAATGTGTTTTTTGCACCATGTGTTTTTTCTCCCACACTGTTTACATTTGATCACTGCTGTACTTTAAGAAATGGAAATGTCATGAAAGTCATGAAAACAAATTGACAATAAAAGCTGTGTAAGTTTTCTAAAAATTAAGGCTCACCCTGCTGTAGGACAACGTCAAATAAGTTAATATGGCCAGATTTACAATGGAATGCTTTTTTTTACAGCATGTTCATGTGTTGTGTCCCAGTCATAATCCGAACCTAAATCCAACTGAGAATATGTGGTCAGACTTAAACGATGTATTCTGATGCTTTCCCTGAGGTAATCTCAAAGAAGAAATGCAAACCTGAATTTTCAGTCCTTCGTTTGAAAAAACAATACTAACACTTTGTACACTCTGTTGCTACAAATTGTTTTGTTTTATCCTTCTACATTTAGATTTTTCAGATAATCAAAGTCACAGTTAACCTTATTAAATAAAAAAGCTGTTCATCTGGTGCTTTTATTTATCAAGGCAGAAAAGCTATCCAATCAAACTTAGACCTTTGTGGGAAACTTTTATGTATTGCTTTCCTCAAAAAGTCCAGTTTGCCTTTCAAATCTTGAGTTTAATATTACCAACTTTTGCCCCGACTTTCTCCTTTGGGGATTTATTTTTTTTATTTTTTTATTTTGCATAAGTTGTGCTTATATGAATTACACAAAGTAACAGAAAGCAGACCATAATACTGCCACCACCATGTTTGATTGTCTATAAGGTTCTCCTTTCTGAGATGCTGTGTTATTATAACAGGAAAGGTTTGGCCTTTGTGTTCCATTTGGTCGGCTCAATAATTGTAAATGGTTTCAAACTCTAAAAGCTCCCATTTCTGCACAACCTCCTTATCATTCAGCTGTAAACACTGAGTCCTCTGTGAACTCATGGATATCATTCACTTTTTTTATCATTAGTTGTTAAGGGAAGACGTGTTGCTTTTTGTAAATAATGCCTACTTCATACTTTATATGAGGTTTTATTTAGGAGGTTCATGATTCAACAGATCTAATTGTAATCAGGCTTGGGTGTCAAGAATTAAACTGAACTGAGCTTCCAAAAAATATGATTAATTACTGTTAATTCATGACTTAACAGCAGAAAGATAGGGGTTACGTTTTCTCATAGGACTGAGTTGTTTTGGACAGATTTTTCTATATAATAAAATCTTCATTTGAAAACTTTTTGTCTGATAAGTGCACCAGAAAGATAAGAATACCAGACACTTGTTCATTAACTTGTATAATATATTTTTTCTTGATAATCATAACCTTACTCAGCTAAATATATTTCAGTGAAAGGCTGTAGCATGGGAAAGTGTGAAAAAGTTCAGGAAGTACCAAGGTTTATTCTGGTGCTAACATTTGCAGTATTGCAATTTTTGTTTTTTTCTTGCAATCATTTCCTAACTTGTTTTCAAATATCAGTCCCCATGGTATTATGACATGCACTCTGATCATAAGTCAGTGTTTTTGAGCTCAGACGCTACTAAAAGGAGGCTTCTTCAAATAAAACTAATCTATTGCTATTTTCTTTTATATAAAATGCCTTTCAGTAAAAAATTGGTGATTTCACTGAGATCAAAAACAGATATCAGCGTAAAAAAAAAATTTATGATAAAAACGTCTAATAATGTAGAAGAGTGTTGTCTATTATAAAAATGTAAATGTCTGAAACAAAGCTTGGCATTTTAACAGCTGAAGGAAGGAATGTCGTTTTATGATTTATTGGTTGTGCTTTTAAAACAATATTCAAAAAGATACGAAGGTCTGAGGAGTCTCAGTTGCTGTTCCTGGAGCAGCTCTGAAAGAAATCCCAGACTGAGGCACTTCAATAGTCTTCCTAGCTCTATTCTCCAGAGGATGCATCAGGAATTCCAGGATCTTACTGAAAGCTTTACAGAACTATTTTTAAAGATTTGAAAACTGCCTTGCTTCCTGTGGACTTTTAATGCTAGGACAAAATGTACTGCCAGTGAATGGTCAATGCAATAGTCTGCATACAGTTTTCAGTTTACTATCTGATGGAAGATTAAAAGCTGACTAGAAGAAAAAGAGCTAAAGACCATATACCAGTGTATGTGTTTTATTAATTGTAAAACATTATAAAGAACAAGTCTATGCAGAATGTAGCCATGATAATTAATAAGAAGCTAATCGATCTGTGAAGCCCTTCAGGTCTTAGCATTGTCTACTACGCTTTTGGAAATTAGGAAATAAAGAGGCCAAAATGTTAAATCCACCAAAATAATTCAGGTAAAGCAACTTGTGCCAATTAAAATCTTTATCCTGAATATTAAAAGCTGTGTTTGCTTTAGAATAAACAATACAAATATATATTTTCTTTTATTCTGTATGCTACCACTGTCTTTTTTTTTTCTAGTGCTTAATTATGTCTTTTTTTTGTGTGTGTGCATCAGCACTGTTATTAAATGTGTGCACTTTATCAGTCATATAGCAAAGGTCTGTCGAATTACAAAACATGGGGTATTTATCAGCACCAGACAAAGATCGAAGAAAAAGAGAAATAGAAAATATATTAGAAATTAAAAATATATTTCAAGAACTCGTTTCAAACCAGTAATTCCTATAGATGAAAATTTTTAGCTTATAAATACATTTCAATCAATGCAGCAGACAGTAAAATATAAGAACTGTTGTTTGAATGATTTCATAAGGTGTAGTTTTTTTATTTTCATTCAGAAGAATCAATAAATTGGTGAAACATTTCGCCTTTTAACGACGTTGTACAAAATCCAGCTTTTAATTACATCCTTAAAAAGAAAATATGAATGATGATCCAAGTGCTTTACTAAAAGATAATATGCTATCTTACATGCTTTAGATTGTATTGTTTACAAATGGAATGCTTTTTGCAATGAATATTATATAACAGTGTCTTTCGGCAATGCTTTAAAGTTTCTTTGTGATCATAATAAATTAGCTCTCACTGATCTCCAGGCTCTCCTTATAGTCTGTTTCAGAAGGACATTGTCCTGCCAGGTTGTCCAAGTTCTCCCCCTGCTGGCCAGACTGTTCAAAGCTCAGAGTGTGGGGTTGTTTGCTGGAAGTGATTTGGGTGCTTTGCTCTGATTGGTAGAGAAGATACTGTAGCAGCTTTTTGGGGAGGTGAAGGTCAGGAATCCCACCCAGTCTCCGCTTTCCCACAGTTTTCCTGATGTGTAGCCGGCACAGCTGCTTTAGAGAAGGTATTCCTGGGTCGTTAGAGAGATGGTTTGATTATCTGCTTACAGCACCTGAGATATCAACCCATCTCTGTCAGCTTACTCTGTAACTAAATACCTCCTGCTTCTCTCAGCAGTCGCCCCACTAGGGTGTCAGGAGGAGTAAGGTCCAAAGGCCGCTTGCCCTCTGAGTTCACCAGGAGATGGTCTGCTCCATGATCGAGCAGGGCAGAGACCAACTCAGGACTGGAGAGACGAGCAGCAATGTGTAGGGGAGAGTCACCAGCAAGGCTCCTGTTAACATCAGCACCTGAAATCAGGAGGGGGTTGAAATATTTTATCATAGTCCATTCTAGCATAGCAGCTTTAACATCATATTTGCTATTTCCTCTACAAAGTATGGGGTGATGTGGAAAAGCAATGGTGTAAATGTCGGTAAGCAGAGACAGCAGTTGCTTATAGGCCTACGACCTTTTAGGGGCCCCATCACTGACACCCGGTAGGTCCCCAACACAATTCTAGACTAAAAGATCTGGAGTACTGGTGCGAAAAAATCCTTTTAAACCCACCTGATACCAAAGTAACCAACCACAGCGGACTGTATTTATACTAAAACACGTGCCAGATTTCAACAGGATGGTGAGCCGTTTAAACACAAGACCAATAGCAAAGCAGACAGTGGCCCTTTTAATTACTATGTTAAGAACTGTGTATAGTTTAAAAGACGGGTGGTTGGTAAAAAATACACAATAACATGTTTCAAACCGCAATAAAGATCTTAAAAGAACAATGTATTTGAGTATTCTATTTTTTACACTACAACTTGGAATTATGGGTAACCCAGAGCGTAGATAAGCGTGGATAAGCATCTCCCTGAAATGCGTTTTTGGAGCTTGGGATGTCTGTAACATGTGATGGTGCGCGTCACCAATGGTTGCATTCATGGTGCGCAGTCACTGTTTTTCTGTGTGTGATGTGTGATCATATACTGCTGAGAATTGCATTATTGTATCTTCCTGGCTGCTTTATGGAACTGTCGCCATATCCTAAACCTTACCACTTGTTGTACTTCATATGGGGCCCACCCAGATAATGTTGCTTACGGGCCTGATTATTGCGTTGTTACGCCATTGTGGAAAAGCAATTTCTTTTAGTTTTTCTACAACACAGGCTCATTTTCACCACTCTTCCAAATAGGTCTGATCTTTTTTTAAATGCACGATTAAACGTTGTTCAGTCGACAGATTATTCCACCTGAGCTGTGGATTCCAGCAGCTGCTTGAATAATAAATGCTCCTTTTGGTTGATTGGTCAGTTTATGTGGATAGCCATGTCTCGCAGTTGTCCAGATGCTGAAATTGAACATGGCTTTGTTGTGAGGCGTTTGCAGTGTGGAATTCTTCTCCACAGCATCCTTCCTGACCTGTCTGAAGGCTTTTTTGGTTTTTTTACTACCCAGGCTATTTGTCCACATCTGTTCTATGAGGCCTTCATTGAACAGATGGATTCAATAACAAAGAAATTATTTTCTAAAGCTAATCATTGTATTAAAGGGGGGTAAAATTTCCATCATGGGGATTACAATACAGAAGGCTCGATATGAATATTCCCCTATAAGACTTTGATAACAAAAAAAAAACAACAACAAAAAAACAGATTGATGCATCTTTAACTAAGGGAAAGCTAAGCTTAATTCAATTTTAGATGTCTGTTAGAAATTAAGTGGGTTGTTTCATAGTTTTCAGAGGTAGATCAGTGCCATTTCAAAAACCATTTTTATTATAATGCGGCAAAATTGTTTCTGCATCATTGCAAGAGCTTATAATCAATGATTTTTTTTTTTTTACAATGGTAAAATATGACTCTAGACCCCTGCTTACCGAGCTGAAGAAGCTTCTTCACAGAGCCCAGTTGCTGATTGGAGCAGGCGGCATGCAGAGGAGAGCCTAAGGTATCTATATGCTGATCCACATCTGCACTGTGCTGAACAAGCATTTCAATGCATTCGGGTTGACCTGGGGAGTCATAGAAATTAAAACCGATTCACATAAAAGGAACACGGTAAAACTGCTGTTTAATTTTTCCAACTACAAAAACATCTCTCTGTCTTCCTTTATGGGATTTCTGTTAACACTGACTAAACTCAGCAGAGATTATGCATGCTCCTGCTGTGGAATGTGACCTCTAACCCTTGGCTGCAGCCAAGTGGATTGGAGAACTGGAAGGGCTGGTGCCCAGGGGTGTCGCTCCATGTTGAAGAAGCAGAGATGCACAGGTCACGTGGCCCCCGGCACACGCATCTGCTAAGGCAGTGTGTCCATCCACCGTTGTGCTGTTAACCTGCAGTTGGAAAAACAGTAAAGCATCAACCATTGACCTTTCGAAAAACAGTTATATCACAAATCTGGCATTCTGTTGGTTAAGAAATATAGTTTTAGTTTATTTGATTTATTTCTCACTGATTTCAATTTTTTCTTAGGTTAAACCCTGCAATGATTAAATATCTAAAACTTGAAGTGTCACTGAGGGAAATCTGAAAAGAAAATTTTGAATTAACAGTACCATTTTGTTTACTTCTCTCAGATATGGATAACTTACATTTGCTCCGTTTTCCACCAGAAGCTTGGCACAGTTTGTGTTGCCTTGCAGACATGCTCCATGAAGGGGTGAGACTCGGTCCAGTGTACTTAGATTCACGCAGATTCCCTGTGAAAACACCACGATGCATGAATTCATTCAGATTTCATGTTCATGCACCACGATGCATGAATTCCATTAAAAAACAGTGGAAGCATAAAATACATTAACATTTGGACACATTGAATCCATAAATGACAATAGATTTTTTTCTGGAATGTTTCCTGATAGAATAACACAAAGTGTTGCATGATTGTAAAGCTGAAAAAAAAAATAGGAGACACAAATCTGTATGTAACCTCTTTACTCTTTCCAGTGCAACACAAGAAGCATGTGCATTTCTATTCATATACTTACCAACAAAAAACACATACACCCATGCACCAACACAGAGAAACAAGAAAAGGGTTACTTTAATGTGGAAGTTGAAGCTTATTTTCAGATATACTTTTTGTGGAGAAAACCACTCTAGAAACCAGCTACTGTTTTTCGGTGGATGCACAATGTTTTTTTTTTAATCCAGCTGTTCTGTGAAGGCTTCAGAGGTTTGTTTCTGAAAGAATCTTGAAGATAAAGGAAAAGCCGTGATGAAAGAAAACTACAACAGATGTTGTTTGAAGTCTGCAACAAGTAATAAAGATTTACAGCAATTATGTTCCAGAAGGTGCATTCAAGACCAAAACTGAACTTTTTTGACCTACTTGAATAACTATGTGTGGAGGAAAACCTCAGGGCACATTGTTCTGATCGACAATCCTAACAGTGAAATGATCCTGCCATCCAGCATGTTTTCATCAGCAGGAACAGTGGATCTGTTCAGCCTTGTTGGAAAGTTGGGAGGAGCCGCATACAGGACAGTTATGGAATAAAACTTGTTAGAGACTAAAAATCCAATCGCTGGCTAGACATTGATTTTCACACACCTTCATCACCCAGTGTGTCAGAGCTGGAGCTATTTCACACCACAAACGATGTGTCATCCTGCAGATGTGCAAAAGCTAGTAGAGACTTGTCCCAAAAGACATGCAGCAAATTTTTTCCAGGTATTGACTTAGAGAAGTAGCGTGAAAAATAAACAAAACAATTTCTTCTTTTGGGAAAGATGCTAAAAACCATCTTAGCACCAGTTTGTGTCAGAAAAACTACCAGTGAAACATGTAAGTCCTGTTAGTAATATAAAAAAATTTGGAAAAAGAGTTAGAATATTTGCAAGACACCTTACGGAACAAAAACAATAAATGTCTGATTTACTTCACTACAAGATGGTGTGTCTCTTCGACTTATGAGAGTTTTCAGGAAGCAGTAGTTCATTTGTATTTTAATGTTTTACCTCCAAAATGGGTTAAACTTTACCTGAGCGATGAGCCTTTGCCGACTGAGAACACGTCCATTAAATGCAGCATCGTGAATAGGAGACCAGTCTGATTCGACATCTTTATGTGGAAAGTAAAAGAGATGTTCGAACTTTTAAATGTTATGCATTAGCACTGAAATACCATGTTTAAAATCTTAAACTTACCACTCATCAAAGGGTTGGAGAAATAGACAAGAGGTTCTGCTGGGCATGCTGTGTCTGACTGTGTCTCTTGGCTTCCAGCAGACATATTTCTCCGATTTGAACCTCCTGGCTGCCCCCATGTCAAAATAGAACGTGTTTTGTCGTCTATTGAGAGCAGTTCCTGTTGATATCATGCTATTACCTCCCTGCAGGAAGGGGACAGTCTGACTGTAATGACTCAGATCCGGCCAATGAGGGTAGAGTTAGAAGAGGGGAAGCCAGTTAAACAAGTTAGTAATATTTGTGTGAAATTTGAGACTGCAATTTCACATTCTTCTTCTCTGGGAAATGACTTGACTTTTGTCCTCTATAGCGCCTGACCTGAAATTTTGAGTTTTGGTCATTTTAGGTGAGTAAAAATGTTAAACTGCAGTGTTAACTGTTATAAAACAGCTTAGCTATGACTTTTTTTTTTTTTTGTTGCTTTTTTTGCTTGAGTTGTTAAAGAAATAAGATTTTATGACCCTGCACTGCTTTTTCTTTCATTAATGGTTTGTTTTTAGTAGGGGAGAGTGAGGTAAAGTGAGACACTGGGTAAAGTGAGAAAACCCCTGTATCTAGGCAACAGAACACATTTGTGCCCATGTAACCATTTTGTTTCCAAGCTCCTCCCATTTCCCCTTTGCCATAGGAGAGAAGCTCATTTTGCTGAGGTCAGCATGTTTTTTCCAACAAAATGTTTTTTTTGCATGTAAAAGTAAATTTTCTTGCTGTCAACTTAATCAACTGTTGTGCCAAAGCAAATTGAATCAAGTAGAACAACTTATATCATACCTGTTGATGAACTACCAACATATAAAACCATGTGATGATGCTAGCCGAGGGTTAGCCTGAATTGCTAAGAAATGTAATTTTTTCAAAAATGGTGGAGGTGGGGTAAATTGAGACAAATGCTGTGGGGTAAAGTGATACAGTGTCTTACTTTACCCCCACCATGAGGCACAGGTTACGTTTAGTTGTAAACATATTTTAATGTAATATTACATTGCATATGTAATGTAATATCACTATTAATTACATATTAATTAATATGTAATGTTACATTTTTATTTTAAATGTCATAAACATTGTAGAAAAGCCATCATGCCAAGGAAATACACCAGGAAGACAACCTGGGGCAAAACACCCCTCGAGGAGATGGAGAGTGCTGCTGCTGAAGTCAAGGAGGGAAAGAAGTCTCTAAGAGCAGCTGCAAGGGACAGAAATATTGACAAGTCAAGCCTTTTAAGATTCAAAAAGAGAAAGGGGAAGTAAACTCGGTAGCCTGGGGTGCAGTAGCTGAGGCAAAGAGAATTATTACAGATGAGATGGAGGAGGAGCTTGCCAAACACTTGAAACAACTAGCTTTGAATATGCAGAAAGAAACAATATCCCTGTCCCTTACAGTTGGACAAAGACAATGTGCAGGTAGGCTAGGGTGTGCAAGAGATCACATGATTCTGTAGGTTAATTAAGGCCAACTGATCTTGGCACATAGCTAAATCTTATAATAATGAATTGTCTACTCTAGGTGAAGATTGGTTTTGCAGCTTCCTAGCACGTCGCCATCTCTCTATCCGAACTCCAGAGGCAACATCCCTCGGAAGAGCTACAGCCTTCAATAAAACTACAGTCAGGGAGTTCTTTGACAATCTGGCTGTAGTTATGGACAGGTGACATAATTAATTATTTAGTCGCAAATGCTTTACGGAGGCATTACCTGTAAGATCTGGCTTTGATTACTTTGCCTCTCATCTTTAACAGGCAGAGATGGCAAAAGTACTCACTTTCCGTACTTGAGTAAAAGTACAGATACTTGTGTTAAAAAATACTCTGGTAAAAGTGGGAGTACTGATTAAACTTCTTTACTCAAGTAAAAGTAACAAAGTACAGTCTTGTAAATTTACTTAAGGTATAAAAGTAAAAGTAGAAACCACTTTTTTCATGCCGTTGCCTACATTTTAAATGGATGTCTGCCAATAGGACTAGATCTCCGTTGTGTTCATTTTCAATCATCTCGCTGTCCATACTACTATGCTAACGCCACCGCCACCAAGCTGCAATGATTTGCCGCAAATGAATACCGCCGAATCTGTCGATTCATCTTGTAGTGGTGCGTCAAATGCAATGTAGATTCCCATCCAATTAGATTGAATTTGGTATTGATGACTTGAAAAATAATAACGGTAACTCCATTGAAATGATTCAAAACTAAAGTAACGAGCCAATTTTTTTAAATGTAAGGAGTAGAAAGTACAGATATTTGTGTAAAAATGTAAGGAGGTCCACTGGGATTTTCCCATATAACCAAGACATTTTCCCTGATGAAGCGTTTGCACCATCCATGGTGTCAGACCGGCCAAACCCTGAGCTGCAGCCTGCCAATGCAGATGATCTGGATGGTCCATCCCCTGCAGATGATCTTGATGGTCCACCCCCTGCAGATGATCCACCTGCAGACGAACCACCAGCTGCAGATAATTCATCCGCTGATGCTTATCCATCCACTGCGCATGGTCCACATGGATGTGCCTCGCCAGCTGATTCAGATGTGCCACGTGTTCCCAGCCGAACTGGATATGTGTCTCCTCGTGAAATACTACCACTTCCCAAATGTCCACCCAGAAGACAAACCAAACGAAAGCGTGTGAAGACAGCCTTCATAACTGATACTCCTGAAAAGCAGGCAAATGAAGAGGCTTATGAAGAAAGACAAAAGAAACTGATGGGGAAAAAGCAAAATAGTAAAGAAAAGGGAAAACCGAAAAAGAAAGCAACCAAAAGGAAAATCGTAGTTAGCAGCTCTGAGGAGAGTGATGTCCCTGTCCCATTTGATAACGAAGAAGAGAGCTCTGAGGATGAAAGAAGTGATCCAGGAAACAAAGATCTGCCTGTGGGTGACTTTGTCATTGTTGGGATCTGGAGCTGTACCACCTTCCTCCAGCAGAGTGCGCCGTGGGTCCTCCTGAGCTGAGCCTCCAACACACCTGTGGCCCATCTCATCATCAGAGGACCCACTAGTATATAAGCTGACTTCAGACCTTGCCTCAACGCCGCAGTGTTGATCTAGTTTGGTTAGCACACAGAGCCTAGTAACCTGAGAATCTTTACTATCCCTAGAGAGAAAAGATTCTAACTCTTCCCTGTTTTTGCCTCACAGGAATCCTGTCTCTCTCGTGAAGCTCTGGATGAGCTTAACTTGCCTAGCCCGCCCTCGTGAGCCAAACCTGAAGACTCTCTTCTGGATTCCATTGCTGCTCTTGGCTAAGAGCTGGAAACCCAAATCAAGGTCTGCCCTCAAAGTCAGAAGTAAGACGCTGAAGCAGTTATTGGACTCTGCTGAACAATCAGTCTCTGGATCCCACAGTAATCTCTCTCAAAGAGAAAACCAGACTCCTTCAAGGTATACTTCTGCAAACTCAAAGTCTCTCATCCCATCTGAGCCAGAGCTAACTAAACTGTCTTCCCTGCAGACTCCAGTGAACCTGTCTCCTGACCAGAACCATTTCCAGTCGCAATATTCATATCTGTTGTTCTTCAATAAACCTTGTTAAACTTTTCATCAGCCTCAGTTGTGTTCTGCATATTTGGGCTTCTCTCTGAGAACCTATCATGACAGAACACTGCGGCCAAACACAAAGCCCAGCAGGCCACCTCCGTCGGAGGTTAGCGGAGCAAGACGCTCAGCTCCAAGGACAAGCTCAAGCCCTCCTTGAGTTACATACCCAGATTGAAACTCAAAATCAAGTGCTTCAAACTTTTGCAGGCTACATGAGCAGTGCTAATGCCACGTCGGCAGCACAACCTTTTCCGGGTCCAGTTCCGCCTCCGAGGTCACCGGCTGTGACGTCATCACCTGAGTTCCGCCCTAGTCTTCCTGAAAAGTTTTCAGGTAATCTTAAGAAATGTAAGGGTTTTTTGTTCCAATGTCGCCTAATTTTAGAGAATTCTCCTGGCAGTTTTCCAACAGATAGGAAGAAAATAACTATTTTGTCCCAACTAACTGGACGAGCCCTAGAGTGGGCGCAGGCAAGGTTTGCCTCCGAGGACAGCTTCAGTTGTACTTTCTCAGAATTTGTTTCTGAATTTTACATGGTGTTTAATCAAGACTCTGATCAGACAATAGACTCTTGAGCTCTTCTTAATCTCAGACAAGGAACATCCTCTGTAGCGGATTTTTCCATCAACTTCCGGGTCAAAGCCGCAGCTTCCGGATGGAATCAATGTGCTCTCAAAGGTGCATATTTCCAGGCGTTAAATGAAGATATCAAGGATGAACTTGCAACTCTTGATGAACCAGCTAGTCTGGAGGATTTAATCCGCCTAACTATAAGGTTGGATAACAGACTTCGTGCCAGAAACAGCTCTAGACTAAAGAGTCATGGTTTTTCTGTATGAACCCCTGCATGTAATAATGCTTCTGTTTTTTCTGGATCCACAGAACCCGTTTCCCAGCCGAGGCCTAAAACTCAGTCTCTATCTATGCCTATCCAGGTATCTCACTCGGTTGAGATGGAAGCCGAACCTATGCAGGTTGGACACACAAGGCTAACCCCTGAGGAAAGAGAAAGACGTTTCAGGGGCAAAATGTGCATCTACTGTGGTGAGACTGGCCACTTCATTGCCTCTTGCCCTGCGAAGTTAAAAGCCGGGGCCCGTCAGAGGATCTGAGGAGTCTGACGGGCCATTTGAAAATTGAAAAACCTCCTCATTTGATTCTTCCAGCCACACTATTTTTCTATGACCAGAATCTCACATTGTCTGCTTTCATCGACTCCGGATGTGAGCGTAATCTGATTGACTCTAACCTGGTTCAACAGCTACAAATCGAAACCGTTCCCTTAACCAAGCCACTTAGTGTCTCAGCTATTGATGGGAAGAGACTCCATCAAGTTACCCATCAGACGCAACCACTTGAGCTTCTGATCTCAGGTAATCATCGTGAAACTCTGAAATTTTTTGTTCTTCCTTCTACATGTTCTCCCCTGGTGCTTGGTTTTGAGTGGCTGGAACGACATAATCCCCATATAAACTGGGCTGAACGCCACATTGAGTCGTGGTCGACCTCATGTCATGAAACTTGCCTTCGTTCTGCAGCTCCTGCTGTAAGGTCTCCTAGAGATAAGGGGGAGATGGACGCTCCGGATCTTACTTCTGTCCCGTCCGAGTACCATGATCTGGCTCCTGTCTTCATTAAGGTCAGT